AGTCTGAAGCAGCAAACCAGTATGTATCAGGTCTGGCCTACTACTTTTAGTAATAGCTTAGCATTGGATCAGAATGAACTCACTATCTTATGATTGAAGTTGGGGAGGTTGAAATGGTGGCAGCAGGGTCTTTAGTGAAAAAATGGCTTGCTACAGGAATATGGCATCTTACAAGCCTTCCTAACCTAATTCAGCTCCTCAGACTACTATTCTCCCTTGTCTCATGTATTTACCTTCTCCCTGTACCTTGTTTTTTCAGCTTCCCTTTATGTGCTGACTTCTCCCATTAAAATGTAGGCTAATTGAGGGCAGAAACTATTTTCTTTTTTCTTGTATCAGTATTCCACTCACTTAGTAGAGTGTCTGGCACATATTAAGCATTTAATAAATGTTTGTTCTATCTATCTATTTGTTCTATCTATCTATCTGTTCTATCTATCTATTTATCTGTTCCCTTAAAATAACCTGGTAAAGAAAGTAGATGGCACTTGTCAGTCTAGAGTGGATCACAAGGGCCTGAACAAAATTAATGCAACAATTTTTGAGACCATTCCTGACCTTGTCAATGTAATGGATCAAGTAGTAGACTACTAGTGAGTGGTGTAGGGTTGTCAACCTGCTAATGTCTTTTTTCCCTATTCTGTGAGACAAGGCTGGAATGCTGCTGAGACAAGGCAGGAACAGTTCATTTAACCAGAGCAGTTCAGCATACCATCACTATCTTTGCTCAGGGATATCTGAATCCTACAATTTGTTGGACTGAGACCCAAAAGGAGTTCCACTTCTTGAAGGAATTAATATCTACTACCACATATACAATATAATGTTAACCCAGATGGAGGAGGCCACAATGGCAGAGACCTTATTGTGGTCCACAAGAGGGACAAGGAATAGGAGAATGTCCAGGGCCCAGCCTGATTAGTCAAGATTTTGGTAATATAGTGGATAGGGATAACCTAGATGATTCCATTTTGCTGAAGTAAAAAGGAGAAGAAGAAGGGGAGGGAACAAGTATTTATTAAGCATCTACTCTGTGTTAGGCAATATGCTAAGTGCTTTACAAATATTATTTCATTTGATCCATACAACATCCCTGGGAAGCAGGTGCTATTAGTATTCCTATTTTATAGTTAAGGAAGCTGAGGCAGACATAAATTAAGCTACTTGTCCAAGCTCACACAGCTAATAAGTGTCTTAGGCTGGATTTGAACTCTGGTCTTCCTAACTCTAGGTCCGGTGCTCTATTCACTATGCCACCTAACTGTCCAGGCACAATAAAAAACATGACACTGATAGTATATTCCCCACAATTTAAAAAAGCCCAGAGACTTACTGTTGTCATTGATTACACCACTGATTCTGCATTACCCAGTTAGGTGTTCTGGTGGCTATCATTTATTAAGTTATCCATAAATCTACATCTTCTGAGTGGAGCCTAAAGCAATCTGTAGCCCTGAAAACCTAAAACAAACCTTCTAGCAATCTCTCCCCAGGCCATTATGTCACTATGCTGCCCAGGATTTCAGATGGCTCTGTCCAAAAAGACGAGATAGAGTGTAACCTTTGGAAAGTATCTAGAGGTGGCCATATCTAAGTGATCATTAGTTTTTCTGGGCCTATAAGCTCTCTGAACTGTCCACTTGCTATACCATTTTTGAAAAGCAATTGCTCACCTGCTAGTGGGCCATAGTTGCTACTGAATGGATTACATAGATGTACCATCTCCTTTCATCCAAAGTTACCTATTATATGTTAGGGTGAAACATGATGGTCCCTCTAAAAAAGATGGTAGGGCACCAGATGTTTCTATTATTAAATACAAATGGTGATAAAATATCTTGCTCTCCTATCTCTTGTCCAGTTTTTAGTTCTGAGGTATTAACACCCTTCAAGAACAGGTTTCAACTCTGCCACAGCCTGAAGCCTCCAAAACTAGGTCTACTAACATGGCATCATCTGTTAGCCCAATGCATCCCAACCAATATGAACTTAGCTCTCAAAGAACGCCATTTTATTTAGGATAGTAACAGTTCCATCCATTAAATGGGCAATTAGGTGATGCAATAGATAGAATGCTGGGCCTGGAAGACCAGAGTTCAAATCTAGCCTCAGATATTTACTAGCTGTGTATGTATGGCAACTCATTTAACCTGTGTCTGCCTCAGTTTTCTCAAATGTAAAATTAGAATAACAATAGCATCTATCTCCCAGCATTATTGTGACAATCAAGTGATATTTGATATCAATATTTTAAAAGTATTTAGTCTAGTGCGTGGCACATAGTAAGTACTTAATAAGTTCTTTCTCCCTTCCCTTTATCCCTCCTTTACTTCTTTCCTTCTTTTCCTTCCTTTCTTTTATCTTCCTTCCTTCAACAAGAAAGGTATGTGGAACTGGACTTTGAGATCAAATAAGATAAATTTATGAAGTGTTTAACATATAAGTGTTTAATAAACACTTATTCCCTTATTCTCATTCCCATTAATTGGATAATGGTGGATACCTGAGGAATAGTGGTCCTGGCAGTACTGGACAATCAAAGGTTCTCCCTTTTAGAGTCAGGTCAATGGAGGAATTTGGCAATAATTACCATTGCATACAATTATCTCTGGGGAAAGTCAGCATTTTCGTATGTCCTCTAAATAGTCAGGTTAATGCTACTACAAGAACAGCAGATGTTGAAAAGTGAGTCAATTGCTAATCTGGAGATGGGGACCATGACCCCATGTTGTGGTGGGCCTGGGACAATATGATCCCCTTAACTAAAAACTAGACAAATGCTTCTGTTCAGTGGTGCTCATCATGCTAATTGGAGTGCCCATTTATCCTGCATGATCCTCAAACTGCCCCCATTTTGCAAACTGGTTTTCTTCTCTGATCTCAGGTCAAAAGGTTTGACCCTGCTAAATAACAGACTCTTCAGTATGTATCTGGCTACCAGGAACTAGTGTTCTACCCCTCAGAAGCCATGTCCAAGATAAATCAGTGACAGTCTACAAAACAAGAAATGGAAGATTTAAATATTTCAATTTTAAAACAAGATATTGAATAAACCAAAAAGGAAGTATTGGTCACTACACAACAGAAACTTCTCAGAAAAGTAGAAAGAAATCTTGCAGAAGTTAGAGTTGGATCATTATTTAACACCATATGCCATAATAAGCTCTAAATGTACATACAACTTAGATATAAAAGGTCATGTAATATTGTATGTGTGTGCATAATATAAATAATTAAAAATATGGAAAAAGATGATTTTGAAAACTATCGAGAGGGGAAAAGATACTAACCAAACAAAAGTTAGAGAGGATCATAAGAGATAAAGTAGATAATTTTGGTTACATAAAATTGGTAATCTTGCACAAAATAAATTAATGAAGTCATAATTAGAAGGGAAACAGTTAACTCAGGAAAATATTTACAGTAAATGTCTATGATAAAGGTCTGACATTCAAGATACATAGGGAATTAATACAAATAAATAAGAAAAGATAGCATGGGTCATGTGAGCAACAAAATGGTGAACTAGGTATTTTCTCAAATTCCCGTGACTTTTCCAAACCAGAAATTACATGAAAAGCTCTAAACTTCAGGTGCCAGGGAAAATAGGCTCTGAACTGCTGGGTCTGGGCTAGAGAATTGAGGAACAGAAGTAAAACAGGTCAGCAGAACAGGACACTGTGTATATGGGAGACTATGCATGATTCCACCAAGGCTGAGGGAAAGAGCACAGCACCCAGCTAGAAAAAGCTCTCATCACCCAAAAGTCAGTCAGGGCAGGGACCTAGGCTGGTGAATCAGTTGACCAGAGTGGAGGAGACTGAGAAACTTTGAGATCCAGACCCCAAGGAAGCCACAATCAGAAGGGAGTGAGTGAGCAAGTGAGTGATAAGGAAAAGAAGGGGGAGAAAGACTGAAAGTACCAAAAATTTCAGGAAGAAGAAAACTCAAAGACCTTAAACATAAACAAACAAACCAATAGGAAAACGGTAACAGAAGGAAAAATGGACTCTGTATCTATTAAATGAATTCAGGCATCTATGAGTAAATACTGCAAAATAAAGGAAAATGATCCCACACTTGATGAGAAAGAGGACCCTGTGGAATTTAAGGAGAATGTAGAATCACAACACACTATTTTTGAGTGTGAAATGAGAGACTTAAATGAAAAAATGAGAGTTATAAGAGCAGAATTTTATGTCCTGAACAGCAAAAATAATGAGCAGAATAAGAAAACTTGAATCTGCAATGGCAAGCCTTACCAAAGGGAAAATGGAGAGAACAATAAATCGGGAATGCAAATACACAGAAGTGTAAAATAATCAGAAGAAAAGCAAAAAACAACAATAAAGGAAAATATGCTCATTATGCAAGGAAAATCTACTGATCTTAAAGACAGGATGTCTTGGAGACAACCTAAGGATCACAGGTCTCCCAGAGTAAGATAGGACAAAAAAAAAACAAAACTCTACCATAATGAAGGAAATGTTAGAAGAGAACTACCCAGAGCTTCTGGACATGAAGAATTTAGATTGTCTCAAAAAAAAAAACAACAACAAGGCTGCAAACTCTAAGAAACACTGATTACATTTAATAATTCAATTCAGAAAGAACAAGTTCAGCAAGTCATCAGGAGAAAGATTTTCAGATTCAAAGGAAAGAACATTTGAATACGTAAGACTATTCTACATCCACTAGAAAAAGGAGGAAGGAATGGAATAATGTGTTCTGAAGAGCAATAGAGCTCAGGATGCAGCCCAAGGTGATCTATTCTGAAAATCTGAGCTTAACCATACAAGACAAAAGATGGAAGTTCAATAATAAAAAAGAGATTGAAAATTTTTTTTAAAATAAAACCATAACTGAAGAGATAATATGCATCTCAAACACCCAAACAACAGAAAAGCAGAAGTGAATAAATGCAGCAGGCAAGGACAGCAACAGAGTGACAGCAGATAGATCAGTAAGAGACTTTTTTTTTTCTAAACGTACACAACGACAGAGGGGTGAAGGCAGAAATCTGGTGAAGGTAACAGTGAAGAGGCAAACAGGGATATTACAGACAGAACCTGGAGGTACCTCCCTATAGGGGAATCAGTGTTTTCATTTCTGTTTTTTGGGGGGTTGATGGGTGGGGTGGAGAGGACATGGAAGGGTACATAAATGAGGAGGAGAGCTGTGGGATAGAGGGGAGTGAATGATGAATAATGAGCTGGAGTCAAATCAAAGGCTAGCAGTGAGGGGTAGGTGAAAGAGAATGGCCTACAGGAGGATGGGAAGAGGAGGAGAGGGAGGGAAAGATTGAAAAAGAGAAAGGAAGGAGGCCTTACTTTGGAGGTGGGAGAGGGTTCTTATGAGTGAAGACAGATGATCGGTAATGTGAGATGAGGATCTTATATGGATGAGGCTTAAGGGATTTGGTGCTTGAAGAGTCTATTATCCCAGGAAAGAAGAAATTGGAACCCATCAGAGTAACTAGCATCTGGAGGAGTGGGAGAGCATGGACATAGGGAAGGAATTCCAAAGCAAATGAAGACAATAGAGTCAACAAAGGAAGGTATAAATCAGAGGTGGGCTGCATAATCAGGGATGTGATGGAGAAGGAGCCCTACCAGGGGCAGTAACCACTATGACAGCTGTAATAATTGGTTTGTTCTGGGAATAAGGCACAGTAGAAAAAGGGAATATATGAGGTAAGCTCTACAAGGTAGTGGCAGTAAGTGCCTAGAGGGGAGAACATAGAATGGATACCTCAAAAGCTTTGATTACATGAAGAATGCAGAGAAAAGAGAGAGACTAAATAATTATGGGGTCATGAATCAGAGAATGAGGGTCCAGAGTAAACAGAAAGGGAAAATGGATAATGAAGACACAGAGAAATCTTTTGTGGAAAGGGGTACAAAAATGAAATGTAAAAACTAGATGCAGGGGAAGAGCTCAAGGGAAATCTACTGAGAAGAAAGAAGGGGAGGAATAAATATATAACCAAGTAAAAGGAGGACAGAAAAAAGGAACTAATAAAACCCTAAAGAGAAAGGGGTATCAACTGAGAAAAGGGATTCAAGGGTAAGGGGAAGAGAGCTAGTGGGAAAGTAACTAAAGGAACTTAATACTGCATTTAAAGCAGAAGGGGGAACTTGAAACTGAAAAGCTGATGCACCTGCAATATTAATATATCTAGGTTAAAAAGGGAAATGGTTGAAAGAGAAAAAAATCTTTGTATAAAGTTTCTCTGATGGGGTTTGGTATCCAAGACATATAAACAATTAGTAAATACATATTTATGTATATGTGTGTGTCACATATTTATATATACATATGTCATATATTTATATGTACTTTGTTGTTGTTACTGAATCATTTTTTAGTCATGTCTTACTCGTCAGAATCCCATTTGGGGTTTTCTTGGCAAGGATACTAGAGTAATTTGCCATTTTCTTCTCCAGCTCATTTTACAGATGAGGAAATAAGGCAAACAGGGTTAAATGACGTTCCCAGGGTCATATAGCTAATAAGTATCTGAGACTGGATTTGAACTCACAAAGAAGAGTCTTCCTGATTCCAGGCCCAGCACTTTATCCACTGCACCACCTAGCTGCCTTTACATATATATGACTGATAACTGTTTCTCAAGAGCTAAGTGGACAAAGAATATGAGCAAACAATTCTCAAAAGAACTGCCTAGCCACAAGAAAAAATGCTCCAGCTTACTAATAACAAGAGAAATGCAAATCAAAACAACCTTGAAGTTTTACTTCACACCCTACAAATTGGCAAATTTGGTAAAAAAAAAAATGACCAAAAAATGTCAACAATTAATGTTGGAGGGGTCGTTGAAAGATAGGCACACTAATACATTGTTGGTGGAGATGTAAAATGATACAATCATTTTGGAAAGCTATTTGGAATTATATAAATAAAAAGACTACAATTTCTATACCCTTTGTTGAGAGGTTTCATTACTGGGCTTATACTTGACTGATAAGAAATACGTTCCCAGATACTCCAAAATATTTATAGTAGCATTTATTGTGATAGCTAAAATGGGAAATAAAGTAGATGCCCATCAATTGGGGAATGGCTAAACAAATCGTGATACAAGAATGTAATTAAATATTACTGTGCTGTTAGAAACAACGCATGTGATGAATATATGGAAGCATGGAAATAGCTATAGGAACTGATGCAGAGTGAAGTAAACAGAGCCAAGGAAATAATACACACAGTAAATATAACAATGTAAATAGAAAGAACAATACAAAAAAACTAAAATGTAAATGCCACAAAATTATAAAGATCAAGAAAGATTCCAATAAAAAGATATGAGAAAACACCTCTAACCTACCCTTTCATGGAGATTGGACATCCCTAAGTGTTACAGTGCTCTTTTTTTTCCCTCTTTTAAAAAATACTATTTGTCATATGGGGTGGCTCTCTTAGAGGGAAGTGGAAGGGATTCATGGGATACTATGGTGATGTTAGAAAAAGAAAATATTAATAAAAACTTATTTTTAAAAGAGAAGATAAAATGGTTAACTTTGATTACATTAAATTGAAAAGTTTTTGCACAAGCAAAGCCAATGCAACCAAGATTAGAAGGAAAGTTGAAAATTGGGAAAGAATTTTTACAACCAGTCTCTCTGATAAGGGCCTGATTTCTAAAATATGCAGAGAATCAAGTCAAATTTCTAAGAATACAAGTCATTCCCCAATTGATAAATGGCCAAAGGATATGAACAGGCAGTTTTCAGATGAAGAAATTAAAACCATCTATAGTCATATGAAAAAATGCTCTAAATCGCTATTGATTAGAGTAATGCAAATCAAAACAACTCTGAGGTATCACATCACACCTATCAGATTGGTCAACAAGACAAAATAGGAAAATGATAAATGTTGGAGAAGATGTGGGAAAATTGGAACACTAATCCATTTTTGGTGAAGTTATGAAATGATCCAACCATTTTGGAGAGCAATTTGGAACTATGCCCAAAGGGCTATAAAAATGTGCATACCCTTTGACCCAGCAATAGCACTTCTAGGGCTGTATCCCAAAGAGATCATACAAATGCGGAAAGGACCCACATGTACAAAAGTATTTATAGCAGCTTTTTTTGTGGTGGCAAAGAATTGGAAGATGAGAGGATGCCCATCAATTAGGGAATGGCTGAACAAGTTGTGGTATATGAATGAATGTAATGGAATACTATTGTGCTATAAGAAATGGTGAACAGACTGGCTTCAGAAAAACATGGAAAGACTTGTATGGTCTGATGCTGAGTGAAGTGAGCAGAACCAGGAGAATGTTGTACACAATAACATCCATGTTGTGCAATGACTAATATTGATAGACTTAACCCTTCTCAGCAATACAACGATCTAAGACATCTTCAAAGGCCTCTTGATGGAAAATGCTATCCACAAAGAAGAAAGAATTATGGAGTTTGAATGCAGATCGAAGCATACTATTTTCTATTTTTTTTTCTTCTGTTGTGTTTTGTTTCCTCCTTCTGGTGGTTCCTCCTATTGGTTCTTATTCTTACTTACAACATCACTAATGTGAAAATATGTTTAATAGGAAAAAAAAGAGAAGATAGTTTAAAAAAGATAAAGAAACCATAATCAAATTGTTTGAAATGAGTAATTTTCAAAAGAAGAAATGTAAGCTACTAACAATCACATAAAAATGTTTTAAATTACTAATAATAAGTGAAATGCAAATTAAAACAATTTTGGGTTTCAACTTTATATTCATTAGATTGGTAGAGATGACAAAAGTAGAAAATGACAATTGTTAGAATGGCTGTGAAAGGATACTGATATGCTATTGGAACTGTGAAGAGATCCACTCTTTCTGGAAAACAATTTGAAATTCTACCCAAAATTTTCTAAACTATGTGTATCTTTTGATCTATCAATACCACGGCTAGGCTCATAACACACAGAGAATAAAGCCAGAGGAAAAACACCCATATATACAAAACTGTGCACTTTAATACTTTTTTAAAAAATAGAAGTAGATACATATTGGATGCCCATAAACTGGTGAATGACTGAGCAAATTATGGTTTCTGAATGCAATGAAATACTGTTGAACTATAAGGAATGACAAAAAAGGATGGATTCAGAGAAATGTAGAAATATTTGTATGATGAAGAGTAAAGCCAGCAGTCAGGAGAACAATTTATACATTGACTAGCTTCAATATTGTAAAGGATAACAACTGCGAAAGACTTTAAAATTCTGATCAATTCAATGACCAATTATGACTTCAGAAAACTGATGATGAAACATGCTTCCTACTTCTCCATGGATAAGTGATGGACTATAACTATTCATTTTCAGACATGACCAATACAACTTAAATTTGTTCTTCTTGTCTATACTACTTATTGTTACAGTGGAGGGATTTTGTTTGAAGAGAGGGAGTATTGTAAGGGGAGTGTGGGTAGTTATAATGATAAAAAAAGAGAAAAGAATGAAAAGACCACCAATTAAACATTTTAAAAATACACATAAAGAAGCAGAAGGAAGTTCAGAAGGGGACACAAATGAGGAGGGAAGTGTTGATATTTCCATTTTATATGTGATACTTAAAAAAGACAAGCTATACATAGTGGATTCATGGTTTCATCTGCAATTCTCTTTTTCTGTCTTTTGTATATGGAAATGTTCATATTAGTAGATGACTGTTAAATTTATTTTTAAAATTACTTTAAAACGAATGACTAAAAGCTGATAAAAATATATGAAAAATAATGAGAATAGCATAACAATAGAACCTACACTTGGTGCAGCTGAGATTTTTCCAGTAAGGAGCCACTGCTCTGAGATCACACACATGGCTCTATGTTCAGTCGTGGGGCAGCCTAACCTCTAAAGGGAAGGGCCAGTCTCTCTTCTCTTATTTTCTAGATCTCTTTTCTCTCTTACTCACGAGGCCAAGTAAAATCACTTGAAGCTCAGATTTGGCTCATTTCTAGGGTCTCCCACTCTATTCCCACCCCATACTATCCCTCAAGAAAAAGATTAGAAAGGTACTCCAAACATATGTAATATACATTAGGTAAAGGACAAATATTTATTTCCCACACAGAAAAAAATAGCTAAAACACAAAAGATTCACAAGCCCATAATTGACAAAGATATAGAACATCTGTGACACTAATTACAGTTTCACCTTCCTCATCACCATCAGAAACACCTGGTGCCAACTACCACCAAAAAGCAGATAGGTACAGGAGCCATGGGAGCTTGCCCTAACCACAATAATGTGCCTAGAGGTTGTTGTGGTGTACATAAATATGGAACATATAGCACCCCTGACCTCCAGAGACTGCCCTCTGTAACCTCCCCAAGTGATCCCAACGGAGCAGAGCATGTGGAGGATACTTCAGAGTTGGATGATACTAAAAAAGTCCCTAGTTCCCAGGAGCTTAATCTCCAGGTAAAGTTTTCCAAGCACTCCTGTGGCTAGTCATCAATTACTGTCTTATCAACCCCATGTTTCAGGAGCCATACCCAGAGCTCCCCTTCGTGGATGGTGTCACCTCCTTCTGCCCAGGAATACTGGTCTTGGGATCTTCTTTACCCTCCCTGACAGACTTCTCCAGCACCTAGCTAATCAATCTCTATGATTGGGAACCAGTTGCCACTCCCACCAAGAGGGTTCACTATGCATGATCAGCAGTGTTCTGGTGACAGGGAGTTAGGCTCAAGTATCACATTGTCTGATCACACCACTCCTCTTCTGTAGATGTGGAACTCTTCCCCCAACTCAACCATGATGTAATCCATGAGATCATTTCATCCCAACCTGTCTTAATCTATGTTAAGCAGCTCTAAGCCCAGTGCCCTCTTAGTATTAATGTTAGCTTTTATCATTATTGTTATTTTATCATCATCATCATCGTTATTAAGAATCCATGTTGGGGACAAAATAAGTAAGCAAAAAAGATGCTTACTATCCCCTCACATAGCAAGAATACAGTTCTCAATTGGATATTAGCATTCCATGGATGCAAACTCCACATTAGAATCGGTCAATAAGAATTCAGTAATACATTCAATACAAGGATTTGAACATTCATTGATCAAGAAATGCAAAATTTGTAAAATCACCTCAATGAAATATTTTAGTGAGGAAACCCAAAAAGCAAAATGACTGTGTAATTGCCACTTAAGATTTTATTGTCATTTTCTTTAATATTCCAAAAGATAGAGTATACAAAATTTAAAGTCCTGAATGGAGAGTCTCTCCTGTGGCCCCCCAAAATTCAGAGGGCCCAGTTTTATAACAGACAAGACCCAACATGTAATGAGTACATAATCACCTGTAGGCTCCAGACTGATTAAGGAATTAGTGTTAGAAATGCTAAAGCTCACGATGACTTGAGAATGGCAAGAGAAACTTGAGGGAAAAAAAAGAAAAAAAATGTTCTGTTTTCTTTTGGTTTTTTACTTATATTGAGAGAAAA